CACTCGAAATTGAGAAGAATATATTTCTGGGAAACAAAGCGAAACAACAAGATATTGATTTTTGTTCCATTCGAAATGAAAAAGAAAGAAAAAAAAGAAACCGTTAACATACAAAAGAAAATTCATGTCTTCGCATTGCCAAAATGCATGCAACGAAATTGTACATCATGACGGTTTCATCGATTGATGATTATGTCCAACAATGGAGACAAATTGACATAAAATTCAGCACGTAAATGTGAAGCGAAACAAAGCAAAAAATGTTGTTGAGTCTTCGGCATGAAACAAAATCGTTTTAAATAAAAGAATGTAAATTGAAGCGTACTTTGAAATGGTCAAACGAGACAAAACACAACGGAGCGAAGAAAAAAAAAAGTTTGAATTACGTATTTGGCAATAAAAACGCACGGTACACGTCTGGAATGCCGAAGTGAAGAGATAAAAGCTGAGGCAAAGCAAGAGCAAGCGCAAAATCAAAATCCAAAAAACTCAATGAACAATAAAAATAAAAATAGAAGCAATTCGACAGTCGATGTTTTATGTTCGTTGATTCTATGACATTTCATCATTATCATTGCAACGGCAAAATGACAACAATAGCAAAATGATACAAAAAAAAGTACACAGAAGAATCGTTGGCTCGTTTTGAAAGAACAGCCGCAGTAACAGTAGACGAGAAGAATAAACGAATGTAAGAAGGGCGAACAATCGACAAATCGGGTGACAGTAAAAGATGAATGAAGAGAATACATTAAAGGTATGCAGAGTCAGAATTTGGTTGGATGGAAATAAAAACGAGAATCAGCAGCAGCAGCAGCAGCAACAGCAGCAACAACAGCGGTAGCAAAAGCAGCAGTACAACTGGAAAATATTATGCTAATGAAGAATCGAATGGCACGAAGAGAAGGGAAATCATGCTGCCATGCATACATGAGCGCACTGCCACTCACAGCTCGACATGGCTTGATTCCGTGGAACAGCATCCACTCGATAGCAGTGTATGCAGCAACTTTTACGCTACATTGCTCATGAATACATAAATAAAATTTATCAATCGATAAAAAGAAGAAGAAGAAAAAAAAGTTGGTCGGTTACGTAAGAAACGTCTTTGAGTGCACCTGTCACCCTGATATGAATAAACACAATGTGGGAGGGAGAGCGCTGAACACGAACGTTTGGAACAAGTCAGGAAGATATAGAGAGAGTGAGACCGTTCAGTGTAAGAAGAAATACCGTTGAAAGTCTATCGCAGTTCATAACGGTTCCGATCGACAGCAATCCGGGCTGCATTGCAATCGACCAAATAAGAAGAAAAAATAAGAAAAAAAAAACTTTTGTTTGGATTTCGACTACAAACACACATAACGATGAAGTATGTTTTTGGGTGGCCAAAAAGACGGGAAAGAAAAACACTCTCATCGACCCATACAATCAAAGCAAGTGAAGCCAGAAAACATTTTCATTTCAGTTAAATGTTTTTATTTCCATTCAATTCATGCACACAAACGTGGAAGTTTCTCTTTCTCTTTTCTCTCTCTCTCTCTCTCTCTCTCTCGGTTTTTCGCCAAACTTTGTCAAACGTTAGAGATTTCGCACGGCATTTTTCTTCCAATTTTTCAGCTACTCGGGATTTGTTATTTTCTTCTCGTCTCTTGCGTTTTCCCTGAGCTGCCAACTTTACAACGTCACTATAGTCGAGCGAATGCTGTTTTCCAGTTATTAACTCGCGCAGCATCAAAAATTCGAACATGCATTGCATGCGCCGAAAATGGATAAAGATTCGATCAAGATGAACGGATAACATGCTCACACAAAAACATACTGTTTGTGTGCACCATGCACTCGGCATTCAGTTCAAAAGGACAAACATTTCAACTGATTTTGCTGTTCGTTTTTGTGTCCACCCAAGGAAACATACAAAAATTGCCATTGTTTAGCAGCGAAATATATAAATCGGATGATAAACAGAGCGCAACTATAAATACACACATGATGTGTCATGGGTTGGCGTTTTGGAACTTTTCGATTTCGATGTCTCCCAACCACCCACAAACTGAACAAATTAACTTTATTTCGCATCGCAAATGTCGTTGTGCAACTGGGTTAAACTTAGTTTTGGTTTTGTCCACTTATTGCTGCGTTACTTTTTAGCAGTGACGACCGAAGTTCAAACTAATGCCACAGTAAATTCGGTGACCATATGAAATTCATGGTCCAATTCAAAATAGCTTGCTGTCATTCTCTCGATGCCAAACTCGCAACGACTCTAATAAACCAAATTATTACGAATGAAAGAGAGTCGCTCTTTTATTTGTTATTCAAATATTATTTCATACATGAAAAGCAAATAAAAGACCGACGCTTGTGTAAACGATAAACGCCCCGCAAACCATAATGCCAGGAATGGGCTACTGTAAATGTCAAATGATTTTCATAGATGCCGAAAAAAATTGTGGCCGTTTTGAGAACGAAACGGAAATTGGGCAAAGAAAAAGGAACACAAAATGCCGAATGCTATGAAAAAGTTTCTTTTTTTATACGGGAATTATGGCTGGAATAATTTGACTGAGGAAAGGAGAATGAGAGAGAAGAAAGAGGAAGGGGAGAAAGAAAGTTCCAAGTCGTAGCTTTCCCTATAGCAATTTTTTGATGTCGTAAAATAATGTGGGGGAGGAACAAATTCAAGCAAACAACCAGAGCCGCCGATATTTTAATAACTGGACTTTATTGATAAATCCTCATTATTCTTGTTGCCTTATCTTTTGCATGTTGCACAACTTCCAACAATCCCACTTTTGGATTGTTTGAACCTTTTTTCCAAGGCAAAGCAGAGTTAAGTTTTGGCATTTCTTCCCATTCCACCTACCTCCCTGTCTCCCACTCGCTTGCCGCCGCCGCCAACGTTCGTTCGAGAGAAAAAATGACTCGAAAAGCCACAAAGAACTGTGTTCTGTAAACACAGCGTTACTTTCTTTTTACATATTTTTTTTTCATTCTGTCGTTACATTTTATTCAGCAACAAAATGTTCTCGTGCCACGAGATTGAGCCTGGTTACATTATTATACACGCTCTAGTTTTTTATCGCATTTTTCATTACTTAAAAAGCACACGACCGTTGATTAATACTTTTGAAGATGTTGCAATACAGAAGACATCAACACTTTCCAATTGAAAACACAACACTATTTTTAGTTTCTACGCCCACCACAATCCCCTCCCCCCTTATTTTCTTCTTTTTTCGTCGTCTTTTGACGTACGGAAAAGTTTCAATTGAAACCGGGGGAAAGCGAAAAATCCTTTGAACGCGTTCCACTAATTCCCTTCTAAACGTATATTTATATTCAATTACTTTGTATTACAAACTTCATGCCAAAGGTATATTATCGCTAGATTGAATCAACAGATTCGTTGGAAGAGAACGAGCAAGCGAGCGAAGAGCGCGAGAGAGGCCAAGTAACAATAATCTACAGCTTCAAGTATGGCATAATGTTTGAGTATGATTCATTAATCCACTCCCGAAAGGAAAACAAGTCATGCGATACATAGCACAACAAACGACGACGACGACTAACATAAACACAATCACTGCTCTGATCCCGACTAATTCAACCTGCACGTGTGTACAATGTACATGTACATATATGGCGTATATGTATACTATACATGCCTATTTTTATATCAACATACATTTTTTTTAATTGCACAGAAATTTACCATGCTGTGTCAATGTCAGTCATACCGAAAACAAAACCACAACCTATATGGATTACAGACCATTAAGTCGGTGTATAATGTAACCGCTTGAAATATAAAAAAAATATTGTATGAGAAATAAAAATCGTCGCAGTGGTAACGTAACGTATCCCTCCCTCCCATATAATGACATGTATGTGTCTCGATGGTGAGACCAGAGGTATGAGGTTGGAACAGGAGAACGGTGTGTGTGTGTGTGTGTGTGACGAAATTCACATGTGAAACTATTACAAAGAGAGTGTGTGTGCCTTTTGGAAGAAGAGAGAGAGAGAGAGAGAGAGAGAGGGAACAAAAAGCCGTTGCGACAAAGAACTTTCATAAGTGGAGCAAAGTGACGTCGTCAGCGTTTAATGTTTGTACAAGCTCAAGCGAAAATTTATTTATTCAAACAACAACTTCCAGCCCAAGCGTGTGCACTCTCTCTCTCTCCCTCTCTCTCTCTCTCTCTCTACACATATATATATATATATTAATGAAACAATGTGTTTTTTTATTCGGTCTGTTCACGACTTTGTTTACGTTGTGTCCTTTTTTCGAAAGTTTCGGCTAGCAACATCATTATAAATAACTCGAATGGTTCAACAAATTGCCCTAGAAAAATCGTCAACATACTCAAGTTGAGAGCCGTTCCAGCAGCCGGAGGAATAACAAACGTTCGAAGAAGAAACACACACACACACTGTGTATTGTTCCAACTTTCCTTGTCTGTCATAAACGAGCGCATCGAACGAGCAAACGAACGAACAAACCGTGCCAAACCTACCCCTCTGCTCGTTTAATTTAAGCATCGATTGCCTAGTTTGTTTGACACACTGACAATGACTACCACTCCATGTTATTTCTGTTACTCTCCGTTTTCTCTTGCTGCTTCTCATTTTTTTTTATTCTTTGTTTATGTTTTGCGTGCACATATTTCGGCATGGATAAATGCGAGACCGTGGTAGATAGATTCACATGATAGACTAGACTCGGAACTGTCGCGTAACACACTAACAAAAACACAATTGCTACCCTCGTAAATGGATTCGAAGCTTTTAACCATGGCACGTGGATGAATGAATCAACACATAGCCATTGCGCCGACTCACCATCCATGCAAGCTCAACACGGTCGGTGTGTGCTCCTTCCGAACACGAAACCAGAACAGAAAAGCTTATCACAATCTCACCAGGTCACACAAACGATGGATGAACACATCGCGATGTGATTTCATTGTTAGTCAGTCACTTTGCCGGTCTCATTCGAATCAGTTCGGTTTTCAAATAACGGTCCTGTGAATGCGACAAAACGCACGACGACGACGACATCGACGAATTTTTTTTCCTCAAATTTCATACACAACTGTTTACTTCGTAACAGTTTGTATTTTTGGGAACAATTTTCCAGCCGCGCATTTTAATACGCCAAAGTGAATTTACAAACAAAAACTATAAATTGTTAAACGGTGCAGTATTTTTATTTCCTGGTAGTTTGCATATTGATGCTGTTTGAGTTTTTTTTGTAACTCTCGAAAGGTTGATCAGGTGCATAAAATGCACTGCATTTTGACTTATGTAAGTCAGTAGTTTGTTGCTTGTTTTTTTGTGAAGCAAAAACAATTTTTATTATGGTGATGGGCCGAGAAACTGAACAACATTCAAGGTGAAATCGTGATGTTGACTTACACACCTCCGCTAAAGAGAGTGGGAAAAAAATGCGGAGCCCAATGTTTTCGCTCGCCTTGATTGGATATAAATTTATAAATGTCAGTGCAAATGACTAATGATTTCGGTGTGATGAACATGGCAATAAAAATACAGACAAACACATAAAAACATCGATCTCAATTAATTTTGCGTTCCATTTGTGGTGTGGCCGCCTCCGTCGCCGACACCAGCACCACCGTGATTTGTGGGCGCCGTACAAAAATTTACACAACGGAAGATAAATTTCTTTATTTCTCTCTCTCTCTCTATATCCGTCTGTTCTGGGTCGATGAATATGAGTAAACTGAACATAATCAAAAAAAAACATTAACGGTGCTACGATAACAAACAAACACAAAAACAAATACCAATCGCGAAAAAAATAGATTGAAAATTACCTAAAGCCAAAAGAAAACAAAAATCTCAAACCAACGGAAAAAAGAAGTTTTTTTTTTGAAAGACTCACACTTATCGATCACGTAGCCAAACAACGAATGAAAATGTGCAAATGTGACACACTCAAATACTCTCATACTGACGAATAATAATAAAATGAGTGCTGCTGAAACCGAGAAGAATTGTGGCCCAAATGAACGAAAGCAAAGCAAAACGAGCGAATTCATTCAGGTTCTGAAATCAAAATGCGAGGAAGCAAACGTGCGATCAGATTTTTCAGTTTGACGTGTAAAAATGTCGAAAAACGTCGTATTTGGTGCAGTGTTGCCGATGTTATATGAGCCGAGCGCGCGCCAATTTCTTGGTTTGACTGCTATCAAGAAGCAATAATAAATTACTGTCGAGATTGTTTTTGGATCGAAAAGCAAAAGAGAACGACACCCAAAAAAAAATCGACTCTTACGATAAAGTCGCATATACTTGGGCGCCAAAAGGAATGCATGAAGTGAAGATTTGAATAGGATTTTCTCGAATTTTTATTTTTTTTCATATTTTCCGTGTTGACAAAAGAAGAAGGAGAAGAAGAAGAAGTAGAGAGAAAAAAACATTCAGTGAATTGCCATTTTGAAAGACATATGTACTGTACAAATACCGTGCGCTCAAAACGACATTGAGGTTGATGGTTCTTAAAGTTCAGTGCGCCACAAGTTGTAAGTGAACGAAGAAAGAACGAGCTAGCGAGAAAAAAGTTAATCGTGAAAATTGTTGTTGATGCAATGCAATCGTAAAAACACTTGAGACAAATCCCAATTGAAACGCTTTTGCATCAATGTAAAACACTTGGGTTTTTAAACGACGACATCGACGAGGTCAACACGACAAAGCGCAGCTATAAAAACTAGCATTTCTTTTTTTGCAAAAAAGACGAGAGAAAAAATGCCAGCTACGAGCCGAGCATTTAGCAGAAGGGCCAAATAAAAAAGGCACATTCGTTCAACAATCGGACTAGTTTTCTCTCATTTTTTTTTAAATCTGTGTGTATGTGCGAGTAGTGTATGTGTTGTTGAACGAGAGCGAACATTCTCCATCTCGGTTCTCTGCATTCATTAGCATCAGCGTCGTCGTCTATATTTAACGTGAAAAAGGTAAGCCATTAACCTATTTCTAATTTAGGTGAAAATTTATTTTTAAAAAATGACATTTATGTCCTCTGGAGCTGCGTTACTCGAGCTCAGCTCGACTAGCACGGGATGGACGATGTATATTTTTTACGCTTTCATTTCTCGGGACAACAAAAAAACCAGTTTTTCTTTCGTTGACATTTTAATTAAGCCGCTTTTCCTGTCCTGATCATTTGAATAATTCACGCGACCAAATTAAATGTCCTTTGATGAAGATAAAGAAGAATTATTGCCATATTGCGGCATCAAAAGTGCTTAATGAACATTATTATTTGGATTTAAAAACACACACACACACATTCCCACTTGCATTTGGTTGCGTTTGATTGAAATGCGATATACAAAAGCGGGTGCATTCAATTGAAAGCGGCTCTTTTCAATTTAACCCATTTCAATATGCCAAAGCGAGAGAAACACACACAGAGAAGCAGAGAGAGAGAGAGAGAGAGGAAATCAATGCATTCTTGATAAACTTTCAAATGGAGTAATTGTTAAAGTTGAATGAAACAACTATTTTGCACATGACTACACCCATCACCCCAGAGCTACCACTTTTTTTCATCGGCGCCCGTTCACGTTTAATTCATCGAATGATGAACAATGCGAAAACGACTGACATCACATTATTCATAAGCCAAAAGCCATTGAATTTTAAATGGAATGGATTTAACCTCTGCATTCGACTGTCTCGCGCCGATGCGAACATGCATTGCGATGTAATCATCATCACGGCCAGAACCCAATATTACCCGGAGTGAAATGAATTGAAAAATTAAAGAGTACACGACCAAAAAATCAACAACACGGTCAATGCAACAGCACACACCACACGAAAAAAAATACAGTAAATTGGTGCATTGTAATAATTCACAACATTATTACACCTTGACAATCCGAACACGGAGTCAGCATGGGGCATTTTTTGCATATTGCGAACCAAATGAAATCCGAACCATTTTAAATTGCTAAATAATTTGATAATAAACTTTCAAACGGAATATTTTCGCATCGTGGAAAATAAAATGCGCGGAATTTCGCTAATTAGTTTTTTCTCTCTCATGTGCTCGGCGAATAGCGATCAATTTATTTAGTGAAACGAGCGAGTGAACCAATGAGCAATTGAATGAACGAGCGGAAAAGAGGAAAATTGAGGAAAATTGAGCGAACGAGTAAAAGAGAGAGAGAGAGAGAGAGAGAGAGAGAGAGAGAGAGAGAGAGAGAGAGAGAGAGAGAGATCGAACAACTAAAAAGCAAGTGAACGAGAAAAGGCGAGTGAATGCGATAGGATTTTTGTAGTGAATCGAAAATGTTGGTGATAATTTACAGTGGCAAATGGTCCATTTCGTTGTTTTAATGGCGTTGCAATGGTCTGTTTCATGTTCTCAAAGTCAGAGGAAAATGTACGCAAAATGGCTCTTCAGTGTATTAGACATCCTAAATATCATGATCTGCTTTGCATCTCCAAGTAGCATTCCAAACAATACATCGCTAGATGCATGGTGTGAATGGTGTTTCGACCAAAAATAGTGGTGAACTACTCACATTTATGGCGATGGCAAGTGGTTTTATTGCGATTCCTTTAATTTAATTTAATATTTATAATTTGTTAACTTTTAAGGTTCGCATGCGAAATGAACAAAGGAGCAAATGAGATTTTGTTTATCGCATCGCAATACAGTCATATTTCTTTCGCATTCTCTTTCTCTCACAATTGCTCTCTCGATCGCATTCTCTCTTTCTCGCTGTGGTTCGCATTTAAAAAAGGCATTTATGAATAATAAACGAAAACTTCGCAGCAATTCGACCGACCGACCGACCAAATTTATTGTTATGAGCACACAAAAACAATACATACATGCAAGACAATAAATATTTTCCACGAATTCAGCTGAATCTCTCCCCATTCCCCTTTAGCTGCGCTTAAGTTGAGGATTTTGACTTCGATTTAAACAAAATCTCCTATATATGTACTGTCGATCGGTTTTTGTATTTTTGCGAATCTGCAACGTGCGACACATGACAGAGTATAAGGGGAGGTGTGTGTATATGCGTATATATGTATCAATGCTGCGATTGTCGGTGGATTATTTCATTTATTGTACAAAATTTTGCGTGTATAATTTTCATACGTTTTTCAAATGAGCTTCAGCGCGCCTCTCTCTCTCTCTCTCTCTCTCCATTGAGCCCGAAAAAAATAATAACGAAACGAAGGCGATCAAGAGAGAGAAAAAAGAATAAACTGTGCCGTATAAATGAATTCGACCGCACAAGTACTTCGCAGCTGAATGAAGCACGGATTATTTTATTTTTTCATTTGTGTGTGCCATTGTTGAATGAAAAATATGTGGCATGCAATTAAGCGATTACAGCACTCAATGTCGATATACTCACCCAGTTCATAGTTAACAATGGCCAATCCGCATACAACGCCACCAAAGCACCCCACTATGATTACACATACACCACACATACATATACACCAAACAACAAGTGAATATCATCATAAAAATGAATGTTGTGCCATATGAACGTGTGTATTCGTTGTTCGAACGTCACGATGGTACAACAACAACGAAATCAGCGGCAGCCTCGGTGCCTGTGTACCTTGTTGTACCTCTCTCTATCGTTTTCATTTTCTATACACTTTTCTTGTTTTCATTTTCGGTTTAAATGTTATTAAATCGGTAAGCATATTGAATCGAGTGAATGAAAATATCGCGTGCGTAAATACAACATACACACACACACACAGAGCAGAGGGGAAAAAACTAAATACGAAATTTGCTGAAAAGACGGAAAACACACCGCAATCCATGCAGACTATGTGGTGTACTGGTTGCATATGGGTAGTTATTGCTATTCCGAGAACAGGAACAAAAAACAACACCAACGACACAAAAATATCGAGAGCGAGCGTTTGAAAATAAAATACATTGGCGTAAATTCGATGCGAAATGCGATTAAAGTATTAATTCGAGCAGAGCTTATGGGGGAGCATGTGAGGCGAATAATGGTAAAGATATTATTCATTGGTGAAAAAGTTGGTAAATGTCGTGGAATTTTGTTGTTGCTGTTGGTGTCATTCCCGCACCTTTCCCAACATTATTGAACCCATAGTCGAGACAAACTTTTCGCTTGATCTATTTGAAGCGACTATTTTTTTTTTGTCTCGTTTGTTGTACCAAAAACCGTCCAACTCCATTAATTTGATGTGTTTTTCATCATTTATTATGAGTTGCATATAGTGGACCATTCATGAGATTGAAATTTATTTATTTTTTTTTTTGGCTTAAAGTTTTAAATTAAATTTCGTTTTGATGTGTCCCTTTTGTATTTGCGGGTGGATTATTTGATCATTTATTCATTGAGACCGGTGGTAAAAAAAAGTCACAATGATTCGCACATTTAAACGCAAAACGATAGGTTCAAGGAGCATTCCGTCGATTCATATGGCTTCAAACTCAGAGTTCACGCAGAGAGCTTCCACATGGCAACAGACATTAACGGATATAAGGAAATGAACGTTGTCTCTGCTTTTTTTGTGACATTCAATTTCATGTATCTGTCGTTCGTTTGTAAAATTGTGATGTCATGCTGTGCATTAACATCAAGGTGGGATGCCGATAGAATGAGCGAAATGCAAAAATTATCATTACTTCCTATTGTGGTCTCGACATCAGTTCCATCGAACGATTTGCAAAGATGGATGTTTTTTGCCCATTAAACGAACAAGCGGAATGGCCCCTTGAATGATTTTCACTTGCAACCAATGGTAACCTCAAATTTAAATTCGAATAAATTTACGATTGATGCTTGACGAGAAAGAGAAAAAAAGACATCACTGTGAAGCGGAAATGGATGGGAAATCAGCAAAAGGCGGCACCGTGTCTTCATTTCGAATGTTCAAAGCAAGCATCTAGATGAAAACAAGCAAGCAAAAAAAAAACACCATCAACGTTAAAGCAAATGGCATACGGTGAACATTTGAGAGCGTAGAGGGAGATTTTATGGCAGCAAATAGTCAAAAGTAACATTTTACATTTCGACAGGATTTTCGCATTTGTGCAAGTTTGCCTGGTTCCGGATATATTTTTCTTCGCATTTGCACATCAACTCAATTTTGTAAATGCCAATTCCACATTTCCACCAAAGCGTCACTGTTCGTCGTCGTCGTCGTCGAGGTGTTGATTCCCATTCCTTCCGATCCATCCACACTTTGCATATACTATCAAATCAGAGTGCGCGCTAGGGCACATTTTGGCAAACAACATTTCCGGTTCTTCCTTTTATTCTTTGCTTTTCGTCGCAGACAATTTTCGTTTTATAAATGTCTTGGAAATTTGTATAGTGGCTCTGAAATGTTCGATGAGGATGTTTTCTTACTTCCTAGGGGGATTTCTCACGAAAAAAATGAATGAATTCTTATAAATTTTGAAAAAATTTCTTCAATTCGGTCCGATTCGATCAATTTTTGTCAATTCGTGTAAATAAATGTACATTTACACTGAACTTTTGAATTATGCTTCAATGAAATTGTTCAGAACTGCTCCCGTTCTGGAAGTGGATCTTCAGGATGGGCCAGGGCAATGTCAAACCGGATCTGGTCCATCATGAGGATCCACCAAAACCCACTTCCAGAACACTTTTATTCAAGCAAAATCGTCATTTCGGTACATTTTCATACGATTTCAATAAAAAAGAAGAAATAATAGAAATTTTTGTACATTTGCTCAAACTTTTTGTGTGAGAAATCCCCCTAGCTTACTTCCTGTGGTTTTTCCGGTGAATTACGAATCGAACCATCCATCCATCTCCACGTGTCACTATTTCAAGCAAGCCAATTTTTTTTTATATACATACTCACTCCCCCACTCTTACTCTCATTCTCTCTCTCTTGCTCTGTTCCTCATCCTCGCCGTCTTCTGCTGCATGATCGTCATCGTCGTCGATTTTGGCTATGCATA